ATAAAAGTATTGTGTTCAACATGATCAAAGAAGCAAGTGACTAAGCCAGGATCCGGTCCCAAGTCTGCCTGTCCTTGGGCTCTTAGTACACTCCTTCATGCATAACCTAATTCTTTCAATGAACTCTGCTCCTTATTAGGGGAGCAACAAGTTTCTGAAAAATACACACACTACTCTAGGGAAAGGAGACTTTCAACTATCACATAATACATTACCATCTACTGACCTATAATCTATTAGGGGTTTGAAGTTCTCAAATGTCTTAAGAACACCTGTTGGTCACCATGAAACATACTCTATAACCATCTCAAAGATAAACTATTCCATTTTATAATCCAAGGAGGGCAAAGTCCAAAAAGCACAAATGTCTTCTAAGTAAGATCCTTAGCTAGTGCCCGATATTTACTTAATGCTTAATCTAATAGGATAAGATAATACTTACTGGTTTTCCAAAAAATACTCCCTCCGTTCTGAAAGATGGTATTCCCTCTATTCTGAAAGATGGTCTGTGTGGAGCTAACCACCCACTGCTGGAAGCAGCCCCTGGAGCTGCAGGCCAAGCTCACCTCACAGGAAGACCGCCAGCCAGCCCTTTTGGAAGCATTACCTTCAACAACAACTCCCAGTTTTTATCAAGTCCCTCCCTCCTCTCCAAATGCCTTGGGACCCAAAATAAGCTGGAATAAAATTCATTTCCCAGGAAATGTTGAAACAACGACAACTACTGGCCTTTATTCTCCCCAGTGCTTTACATGTTAATACATATAATACACATTGCAAAAGGGGTTCCTCTCAGCATGTATGGGAATATTACAACTCACAGAGATGAACTCTCCCAGTATAAAGCCACTAAAAGGCAGAGTTGGTGCAAACGCCAAATTAGCAGAAACACTGTGCCCTGCTGCCAGGGTGTAACGAGTGGCACAGAGTTTTCTATCTACGTTAGAATCTCCCTAAACGTATGTCCCTGGAAACGGGGCAAGGGGACATGGGAGATAAGCCCATACTTACAGGAATTCTTCAATTTTGCTGAGGGCTCCTAAGGCCTAAGGGTCTTCAGGCTATATCCTGAAATCGCTGATGAAAAAAGAGAGTTCATCCACAGAAACCACTTGGAAAAACAAAATTAACTCCAGCTAAGCCGCCAGGTATTTAAAACAGACAGTCTCCCAACAGGGCTGAGAATTCTTTTTTTCGATGGTTCTGTGGGTACGACATAGACCCCATCCAAAATCACGGCATCTCCTGAGCTCTACAGGTTGAACACCTTGAAGAGCTGTCACCCTTTGGGATCTTTGCTGGCTGGGGAGAGAAAGGTGTTTGCTAAATGGGAAAACTATTTTTGGGAGCTAGAAGAAAATCACCCTTGAGGCTACCTCACTGAATTTTCAGCTAGTTCACAGCCCTGAGTTGTTTTAATTTATACTTTTCTCCTCTGTAAGGACATCAGAGAGGAAGATAAGCAACACTCGTTCTCCCAAAGAGCAGTGAGTAAAAGAGGAGGAGGTCTGGCTCCAGGTCCTCTTAGAAGGGAACTCAGAGCTTCTTGGCTATTGCTCAGCTACTACTGCCAGTCAGCCTCAACAGCTGCTTATTATTATGTGCCAAGCTGCACACGGACAATCCCAGGTATTCCTCACAGCAATCATATGTGCTCCATGCTATTATTAACATCATCCTATTGATGAGGAAACTGAGGCTTAAAGAGGCAAATCACTTGCTAAAAGTCACCCAACTTAACTAGGTTATAAACAGGGAGCCCAGCACTGCACTCAGACGTGACCATCATCATCCCTGGCCATCTCCTGCTTATGGAACTGCCAACAGAAAGCTGATTACAGTTCCTCCTCAGCGAACAAGACCTGAAGTGAGACAGAGAACTTCCCATTTACTACTTTGAGATTTGCCTTTTAAAGAAGAAATCTGAGGGCCACAGGATATAAAGAGGTCTTACCCATCCCCTAGAGCCAAAAGAAAGTGGAAGAAAAGAGCAGCTTCAGGTAGGTGAGGACTCACTCATAGCATTCTTGAAATTCTGATTTAAGGATCTGGTGAAATTTTTAAGAGTTGTAAGAGATGACTACTCACTTCATGTAAACAGTTGGCAATATCTCTGGGACTCTGGAAGTAGCTGTGAGTGCCGTAAGCACATCACTGAAGTAGAGATGGGCTATAATTTTTTAAAGTGTTTTAGTGAAACCTAATAAGAAAATACTTCTCTCTGACGTTATATACGTAGACATACTCCAAATCTTTGAGCTGTAATTATACAACTTATTTCCCCCCAAAAGTCTTGCAGGTAAAACTAAATTTATTCAATAGTTGTCATCCAGTATTATATATATTTTTTTTTAACTTTAGAAAATGCAATACCCTAGACACAAGCGATATTAAGCAGGTACATTAATCAGCACAGGGGAGCTAAATTAAAAATAGACTTATTTAGATGTCTGGAAATTTACCTTCTGTTCCTGGGAAACTCCAAAAAATGGCTCCAATCACTGTCCTGTAGCTTACACACTACAGTCTTCAGGACTAGTCTTTTTTTCTTTCTAAATACTTTTAGAAATAAAACCATTTTTTATTTACTTTTAGTTTCATTTACTTTTTAAATAATAATATTTCACAATGAATTCTAACACTGCAGCTGCCATCCTGGCAGCAAGACTGTCACACAGAGAGCTGGTGTTAAGAGATCAGATTAAAAGCCTTCAGTCCCAGCACCAAGTGACGCTTGCAGCCATGCAAGAGTGATTTTCCATGCCTCTGAAGAGACAGGAAATAGAATTCATCTTCCTCTAATAACCTGTCTCCTCCCCACCCTCCAGATTACAGTCCATCTGGCCTCAGGATAGAAGCGAGGAGTGTGATGCTCAGAGAATGCCCAGAAGAGGAAACAAGGTGGGCAGTATTCAGACACAAAACACCACAGAGGCCTGGAATGGACAGGAACAAACATGTCAGAGGCCCACAAACTAAAGGATATACACACACCTTAGGAAACTAAAAAAGGAAAAGCCAATCAGATCCAAAGCAAGCAGAAGAGAAGACATACACAGAATCAGGACTTAGAAAACCGTGACACAGGTCATTCATGACACATGTTAAGGATTTCAACCAAGAAATGTCAAAAGTATTAGGGGAATAAACAGCAGTGAGATTACGACGCCTATCCTCCCAGCTTAAAGCAGAAAGGAGTTGCCAGGATCTCCCTCCGGCTTTCCTCTACAGGGTAGACTTCCTGAGCCAATTAATTCCAGTCCAGTCTTGCTCAGCACCATTGCCATTACACATTCTGTTCCTACCGGGCTTGCTCACACAAACAACATAACTCACGTGGGAGACCGACCTACTGGCAAATGAGCTAGCTCCACCAACACCCCACGATCTCCTCCCACCTCTGAACATAACCCCACAGATCCCGCAAAAAATGCCACAGGAATAAGCTGTACTGCTAATTATGTGTAGGAGTCTGTGCCTGCGGAAGTCTAAAATCTAACACCACCCCGAGAAAAATTCAGACTTCTCCCTCTGCCTTGGGGAACAAAACCTCAGCCTGCCCAGAGCACAATCGGTTACACATTCTTCCCACTGGCCGTCTCCATAAAGCAGAGCTGCTTAAAGAAGAGACATGGGCTGGTCTGGATCAGGTAAGGGGCAGCCGGGCTTCCTAAAGAAATGCAAATAGGCCCCTTCAGTGCCTTTCCCCACTCCACCTAATCTGGTCAACAAGCAAATCTTGAGTAGAAATAGGTAAATGGGGATACAGTGGGTGGAGATTTTGTGGTCACAGCTAAAGGATGAGAAAGACAATACATCCTTTGTTGTTTGTGATCCACAAAAGCATTTGAATTCAGGATGTTAATTTAAGTCCACAGTTTGTGAATACGAGAGCCCTAAAGGATATACTCCCACTGAACCAGTCGTCATGGCTGTTGAGATCTAACCCATTAATGACCGAATAACAAGTCAGGCGGGGACCCACATACCTCTAACATACATGCATGTTCACACGCCGCTGCATGCTAACCTCAGCGCAAGCCTGCTGGCAGGCAGGCAGGCAGGTGAACTGCCCTCCTGATAAGCAATGTGACCCAACCAAAGGTGGGGAGCAAAGTGCCTCGCTGCCTCCCAGCCCACAGCATCAAGCACTGTGGCTGCAAGGCATACGGCTACTCCATTTATTAGCTTCTTCCTTCTCACAGCTGGTCTTACCTGAGCAAACGAAGAATTCAGTAGTCCAGAAGCAAAAATTCCCTCTCCAGGCATGTACCCAAACTTTGTAACTAATAAAAGCAAGCAAGCAAGCGGGGGCGGGGGCGGCGCCACCAGGAAGCCACAATGCAATAGAAATGCACCTCCTCATCCCACCCTGAGCACACCTGTGGGCAGCGTGCACACGTCCACCAGTAGGAGCAGAAGCAAGCAAGGCGAGCTGCACGCTGGGGCGTGGTGAGGCGTGAAGGCCGTGGTACTGAGAAGTGAGCCCACTGGGCCCATCCTTTGTGTCTTTTCCCAAAGGCACCCACCGTGTAAAGAGCTCATCAGGTAGTAAGAAGTAACTTCTGAAAAGCTGCTGGCCAAAAGTTACACTAGCTTGTTTACTATGAAAAGCCTTTGTTTGCTATAGCTTCTGCCAATTCTTAATGCTCAGTGACTAAAGTGTAGAACCAGCTATTGTCCTCTAGGCAATTTTTCAATCTGCCCTATTAGATGCCATTATGACAAAATCATAATTCTGAGCAACACTACGCAGTCCAACGACAGCAAAGTATTTTAACAACTGAATTTTGCTTAGCACATTAGAAAATACTCCATTATATAAAAACAACTATATTCCAATGGATGTTAATAAGGTGTGGAAGTTGGAGTGCGAACACTGTATCTTAGAAATATGCAATGCAAACACCAAGAGACAGACAAGGCCAAAGAGTCAGTTTTATCTGCAAAAACACTAAATCGGTACCTTCCAGCCCAATGCTTGAAACCACCTGCCTTACCTCTTGGGACAGGAAAGGAATGACTTGTGCACAGATAGCGTTCAGCCTCTTGACAATCTCTGCCTGCAAGAAAAAAAAAAAAAGAAAGAAAAGCAATAAAGAGAACAGTCAGCTGGTTACAAATTCCCAAAATATTAGCAGGATGATATTAAAACACACTTTATATTCTAGTAGGCGTATTTCCTAAGGAAGAGGCAAACTATCATCAGCAAGCCCATTAGAAGGAGGCAGGGACAACAGTGCCACGTTAATACCACAATTTATTAACCAGCATTCATCTTAAAGAGTCAATCTTCAAGCAGCAGGACGACATAAAAAGGAATTTAATTTTCACAATTGTAATGTTTTCAAAAGCGTTTAACAGGACCCTTATTCATTCTATGTGGTTCTTTATAAAACCTTGATTGGAGTTTAGATTGTAAAGATACATCCTTCCCTACACCCCAACTTTTCTCAATAACTCACTGGACTTCTACATTTGTGCCCTTTGCTTTAAACATCGGCACTGGGATGTCATGATCACGTCTCCAACCTTCCCAAAGAACAGCACCCAACCCACCCAAATGACCTAATTAATTCAGATCCTTAGTTATACACTGCTGGGAAATGCCATGTTTTCCTCAACCATTAAAACTTCCAAATGTGCCCCATCAGGGTTTTCAGTATGCAAAAAAGCAATTGTTTATATATGGAGACTGACCTCGGCAACATCAATTACCACTGTACTATAGAGCTGAAAAAGTTCCAATAATGTCAGATAATAGCTTACTCTCTATTAATTTTTTAAGTGTTCAAATTTTAGACAAATAGCATGCTACAGTAAGTTAAAAATAAAAAAGAAATACCAATACATTTTCTATAAAAAAATACCCAGAGCTTCACTGATCTTCACCTTAATTTATATTAGCAGATGGCTCCTTGTATAGTTTAGTGACATGTAGACACAGGGTTTTTATACATACATACAAAAATTTTTTCCAGTTTTATTGAGATATAATTGACATACAATTCTCTATAAGGTTAAGGTATACAGCATAATGATTTGACTTACATAAACTGTGAAAAGATGACTGCAATTAAGTTCACTTAACATCTATCAAAATGGCTTATTTTTAAATAATGGAGTAGGGAAAAGGAGAGACAAGAACTGATGGAAAACAGAAAACAAAATGCAATTATTATCCCCAAGACATTCTTACATAAATTCCATCCACAGCAAGTTCCTCATTTTATAAGAGGACAAAAATTCTCCTTTTCTTGCTAAGTCATAACCAGAATGACAGCGACACTCTACTTGTGCAATCTAGGTTTCCTTCTTTCCTCAGCAACCCTTTTCACTCTATGGCTTTGCGACCTTTTAAATACTTGCACCTTAAAAACTTTGCCAGCCAAGAGAAAACACAAATTCACCATGAAGTTTCAGACCTCAGCTTTCCATTCCAGCCTGCATTCCTAATAGGATGGACAAAAACGCAGCACCAATAAGCAGCAGTGAATAAGGACCCAACTGTGCTGACCTGATTTAATTTACTGCCCTGGCCCCGTGGAGCATTTAGCTATCCTTTAAGAATGCTTAAACCACCATGAAAAGCTGCAGTGGGAATCACCAAACCACTCTCCACCTGGATGAACATACCACAGTGGTTATAGGGTGAAATTCCAGCGCGAGCTGAGAAAATAGAGTAGCATTCACCAGACTGAAAGCACCAGTCTCAGAGGCATTTGGTTGTTAAGCTTTTCGTAGGGAGAGGTGGAGGGGGAGAGAATAAAAGATAATGAGACACTTTGGGGCAGACCAAACTGATGATTCTAATGCTCAGAACCATCTGCCAAGCATATTTTCCTCATTATGTTGTTTACATAAATAAAATAGTCCCTTGCTAGGAGGGTTGAAAAATGTGTGGGCACATAAGAAAACTGAGTTCTTTAGTTTGCCTACATAATCTAGGCAATAAAAACTACTCTAAGGAAACTCACTCATCTGGCAAAATAAAAACCAAGAAGTATTTATTTTACTCCTTTAATTTGGGGCCGAGGCTATGTTAAGTCTAAGCAACTACGAAAAAGCAAATCTACACTTCCTCAAAAATAAATGTAGAAAAGTCAGAAAGTTCTTTTATTGATTCATGTATGTTAACACACATACACAACAGAACGGGGGGTGGCGGGGGCAGAAACCTTCCAAACTTTGTCTTTAAATGTCTCCTTTTGTCTAAAAGACTTCTTAATTTCTCTAAGTTGTCACGCCAATGGATCTTCCTGGTCTGGCTAATTGGAATCAGGGGGGTTGGATGCGTGTGTGTGATTTCATAAAATTAAGCAGGTCATTCCTCACTTTGAAAGCTAAAGTTGCCTCGGAAACACTGCTGCTTCCATGGTCATCTCATTTTGCCTCTTTTGTCCCATAGGACCCAGCTTTAGGGAGGCATCATTTATTTACAGGCTTTTCCACTGGGCTTCACCGATCAGCCAATAATACTGTGGACACACACTTCTAATGGCCTATGTTTTGAAACTGAGTCTAATTTAATGGCGTGGGGCCCAAACTCCTTTTCCAGCACAGCCATTAAAGGATGTAGGTTATTGCTGTTGTCACCATTGATATTTGTCATTGTAATGTAATTAGGGCCCTAAAATGATGCATTACAGCCCTTGGCACAGCTTCTATTAAAATCTTTTCTTCTGCTCACTGAACTGCGACCTGCTTTCTGATGAATAACAGACAGACAGCTTTAGGGTAAGGAGCAGATTCATCAAAGAAGTATTTTTCAGCTTTGTGGAAAGAAAGGGAGTTGGGGGGGGGGGGGGGGCGGGGAAGCAACCTAGGAGAAAAAGCACCAGGGGAGGAAAAGCCACAATACACATTTGAATTTCATCTGACCACTTGAAATTCTGATTGCATCTGACGAATCTTGCTTAGACAATATATTCCCAGTCTTCGAATCTCATGGTTAATCAGGGCTCTAATCTGCTATCTATCAGCCTATGCCAGCGCTGTAGCTTCCAATCAAATTTATAGGTGAAGCGGCTCATGCATCCCTGAGCAAGTCCATTCACAGACAGCCCATTTAAACAGGCAGGCAGAGATTCTGAAATACTGCTGTGGGGCTTTCTGGATGTTATCATGGTATTCAGTGCTTTATGGAACTGCTAACTATTGGCTTCAGATGCCCGTGATATTCTAAAACAGCATTAATGGCCCCCATAAAAGAACAATTGCTCATGCCAAAATATAACAAAATTATTGTTTTTGCAGCCATAGTTTGTCAAATACATTAACAATGTTGACACTTTTATTACGACTTCCTCAATCCATCAAGATATTTTTTTAAAAATTCCACACATATTTTGCTACCCTCAATTCACTACCATTCTGTCTTCTCTTCCTATAATTTCCCACCTTTATGCCACCCTCCAATAAGAACCAACAAAAACAATGACCAGCCCACTAAAAAAAAACAAAAACAAAAACAAAAAAACACGCTTACACAAAATATTTTAGGAAAAGGCAACTTAACAAAAGGGCGTTCTAGGAAAGTCCCTTGGTTCCGCACTTGACACCCGGCACACGAATGCAGACAGGCTAACTAAGCCCCCAAAGTGGTGATGGCCAGTAGACTGGCAGCATGACCAGGTAGTAATGAAACAGAAAACACTGAGAGAAACCATTTATCCCCTTTTTCTTCGCACTCCAACTCAACAATCATTGCAAGATTTATTAACTACCTTGCATCATGGGAAAGCAATGTCATGCACTGAAAAGAATGTCACAATTCAATCCCTTAAAATGTATCAACTACTAAAACACATTGTATCACATAAGTCCTTTATTATTTGTAACAAATTACACTAGTTATTTAAGACAAAAAACTAGTTAAGCCTACACTTGAACTGAATTACATCCCCTCAAATCGTCCTAATAAAATATTTAATTTTTGTATTAATTATTTCTGCCTATATGATGTCCTGAAAAAACAAATCTTACTTTAATGACATAATAAACTTGAGAGAAAGTACAGATTACTTGATCAAAGACATGCATCAAAAGTAACAGTTTAAAAAAAATGTTTGTGTTTCTGTTCTCTCATCAAAACAGGAACAACACTACTACATAGTATTGTTGAAGTAAAACAGAACAACAAAACAATACTATTTCAGTAGCCAATGGGGTGAGAGGGAGGTGCAAAAAAACAATTACAGTTTCAGGAAAACATTCTCAAAGAGTAACATTTCACAATTAATTTGTTTTTATACAGCAGTTTCTCTGCCAAAAAAATTTAAGATGAATCTATTTACTGTATTGTTTATCAAGAACATACACCATATACATAAACACAAAAAAACTGAAAAAAAATCCCCACATGTCTGAAATGTTTTTCAGGGTAAGTACAAATAAATCCAACTCTCTCCTTCAAGCCCCTTTTACTACTATAGAACCAAGACTACTTTTTAAAATTTCAATCAGAAAATAAATTACCTTGATTTGTTATTGATTTGTTCTAAATTATTTGAGAAACAGTACAATTTCTGGAACTGATCCTGCCTGTCCACAGATTAAAGTCAGAAGACTAAAGAGAAATTCTTCCCAACTTAATAAACATAGGAAAAAAACATGTGAGTTGTGTATTCCTTGAAACTGACAACAAGTGTTTATCTTATCAAAATTCAACTTTACAAAAGAGGTAAGAACATGTTAATAAATAAAATTAACTGTATTTTTTTAAAGCCAGACTGGAATAAAGCTTAGAGATTTAGATTTAAATCGAAAGTATTGTCAGCATTGCTAGCAAGCTGATAAACCAGATGCATACACGTGATTATTTTGCACAAAATATTTTATACTGCTCAATAAAGCAATATAATGAAGTAGTAACATTGTAAGAATCAATTTAACAGGACATCTATGAGTTCCCTAAAGGACTGATTCAAACTAAGAAGACTTTTTTTTCTTCTGAAAAGTATTAAGACAATTGTAAAAGCTCTCATCATTCTACTTCCTCTAACAAAAAAGAGGTACTATATAGAACTACTCAATTATATTACCTTGAATGATATGAAAGTGC